CATGCGAGTCAAAGATATTAAGCTACTTGACATTGGTTATAAATAAAGAGCTAATGTTAATTGGTTTAACACCTCATGTTAAAACTGCAGACGAAAGTTTCTGTTGTTAAAATGTCACAGTATGCGGCAAATCAACATTTCACTCAAACCTACATGAAACCGATTGCCGTCAAACAAATAGGAATCAACTTTTTCCAGCAAAAATTCGGGAAAGCAGGGTCGATGGTAAAAAAATATCAGAAGTGCAATCAAGGTCGTATAAAAGAAAGGAGCAATCAATTTACCAAAAAAAAAAACCTACGTAAAAGACGATTTCAAAATGATAATACTATGACATAACAATAAAATTTTTCGATAAACTTATGAAGAGTGTAATTTAAGGTTGAATATGTTTGTATTTTATTTCCTGCAAAACTCTCCAGTTCGTTATTTATAACCATAGCGCATAACAAAAGATCGTTTACTAAATAGATTTTCGGACTTTCACAACGTGGATGTCATATCTAGTTAAGATAATATTATAATGAAATAGAATCGAAAAAATGTAACTATAATATTTATAACTAATTCCCAACACAGTGACTTTCATAAGAAGGCCGTAATTTGCGTTCAAAATTATAATGAATAGTAAACCACCATACACATTACCTTCACATTTATACCAGAAAAGTTACAGACCAATTTCTAAAGAAACTAATTATTTGTAATATGTGTTACCGAAAGAATGAATGAATCCTAGTTCCACTGCGTATTTTGCCGTGTTGAAAAAATACTTTCGATAAATTTCATTATTTTCCCCTCTACCATAGAAGTCGTTTGCTAGAAATAAAATATTTATTGTAATAAGAATAATTAGAATTATTTTATTTATTTATTTATTTCTAGTAGTACATAGAGGGCATAATTGGGATTAAATTAAAGTATCATAGAGGGAAAGGGGAAAGGAATATACTGTTTAGAAACGTTTATAAAAGTAAATGACCAGTTGAACCTATTTTCCTGTTCGTTAAATGCTTTTGAAAAAATAAACAATGTAACAGTATAGAGCGAGGTGAGTTTTGCAGGGTTACAGTATAGACCGAGCGACTTTGATCCGATTTTGTTACAGTATACACAGATTTCGGTTACAGTTTAGATACTTGCCAAATTTCAAATAAAGTTTGTTTTATAAAATGACCCATACCTTTCTTTTTAATATATTCTTGAAAGTTGTATTTTTGCCATTTTTTTTTCTGCAGAAAAGTTACAGTTTGAAACACACATTATAATGCATATTAGTTATAAAATAGAGAAAAGGAAAGTACAACACGGCAAAATTGAAAATTTTGCAGACTCGATTTGTTTGAGCCTGTTCATAACTGCAAGCTACCGTCCACCCCTCCTAGGACCATCTTAAGCAGACTTTAACATGAACTGGTAAACTGAAGAATTATTTAAACATCTGAAGATGTGTTTATATGGCGGCTATCATGGAACCTTCTTTGTGACACATAAGTGCCATTTCATGAAAAGAAGAAAATTGTCCCAAAGATTAATATTGCGTGTGCCCTAAACGAGAACACAATGGGTGAAACTAAATAAAATAGAATTTTTGAAAGGAGGTTATGAAGCATGCATACCACAGATAAGCTGTCAAAAGACACAATTAATTAAGCAGGAAACATACCCTAAAGGACATTAAACAGTAATCAAGTGAGAAATACTGCAACCTTAAAACTAATTCTAAGTATTTAAAAAGGGTGGTTACTTTTTTCACCGATATTAAGGTCATGTGAAAACATTCCTGCTGTACTGTATAAAAATCCTTTATGAAACATTTCAGACAAGAGCGGGCACCTGACTAGAACCACCGACTTTCCGTAATATAGCTTGATAGATTCCTCATATACAAGGAATCCAACGTCATGGCGGAATTCAACAACAGCAGTAAAATAAAGATGATTTGAAGTCGGCGACCTTAACCCGACTCTGCCACTATTATGTACCTCCATCAGGCTCTATGGAAAATATATTGTAATTGTATGTAATGTTTATAATAAAAAACGGCTTGTATTTCAACAATGACAAAATAATTCCCATTTCAACAAGGAAGCATTCAAAATGACGCCATGGTCATGATTCGATCTTTCTTTGCAAAATGCTTCACAGCGAATGCTTTTTGGTTCGGAAGAAGAATGATTTATATTGCCTTTTTTAAGAATCTATATTTTTGGTTTTCGTATCCCAGATTGCAACCGAAACCATTTGAACAACTTTAACATTTCATCAAATCTGGCCAAGTAAATAGTTACTGAGCGGATGTCATTGGACTCACATGTGTACGACAGACGGACGAATAGTCACCAGGACAATAAGCTTAGGTTTAAAAGTCTATAATATCATTAATACATTTTACCTAGTATATATAGAAAATATTGAGGTCTAAACTGTAACCGAAATCTGGGTATAAACTGTAACAAAATCAGATAAAAATCGCTAAGTCTATGCTGTAACCCTGCACAATTCACCTCGCTCTATACTGTAACATTGTTTTTGTTTTCAAACGCATTTGACGAACAAGAAAATAGGTTCAACTGGTCTTTTACTTTTACAAACGTTTCTGAACACAAAGGACTAACGTTCTGTAGGTTTACTTTTTATAGGCATGCTTTAATAATGTCGGAATTGGAGAAAAATGCGTTGGACTCTCGATTCAGATTTTCAATCTGTTACATCAACACATTTATGAGACAATATAGAGATATAACTGCGGTGCAGGGTCTGAAGAAATATATGACTAGATACCGGATCCAGTTCCTTACAAACAAAGCACAATCATATCTTTGAGAAACTGAACTACTTTTAGTATGGACAGGAATAAAATCACCTAACCGTCTTCCCCACAAATAATCCTCCATCTTGAAAATTCTATACTGTAACCGGAAAGCGCGATACTGTAACACGTTCCCTACCGTGATCCTAGTGTAAATCTGTCACATCTAAGATTAAATTCTGTATAATACAATATATCCGGTACAGGAACCTGATGGCTACTTCTCTTAACAACAATACTTATGATCCAACTGATCTTGACACACACAAAACATATATAAGCCCTTGGACCTTTTGACCAGCTTATAATGTGTGTAATCACTTTAAAATAATCGAAATAACAACTGGGGTGTATTTTGATGCATAGTACTTTATGAAACATTACATACAGTCCTGCAAAGATACACAAATAAATTGCAAATCAATACACAATTACAAAAAATATATATTTGAAATATAAAAAAAACTAGAAATGTGTCACCATGCCACGGATGCCCCCGCATGCAGCCAAAATTTCAGATGGTGCATTAATTATTTTTTTTTATTTTAAGTTCAAAGCCCTTAAAACTTTTCAATGTTAACACAAACCATTTTCATACAATGTTCATGGCACTGAAATGATTCAGTCTTATCCTTTTAAAAATAGCATATTGCATATTTGTAGCCAAAATAATGGCTAAAAGTATGAGTGCTGAAACTGAATGTTCAAAATTTTTCCAACATTCAGGAAAGATAAGTTTGTCTAAAATCATTGAACCACAACCAAATTCAAACTTAAACTGCTTATTCCTAAGATGTATCTATATTATTTTCAAAGTGAAAGGGACATAACTCTGCCAAATAATCATCAAACCATGACCAAATTCCAATTTGACCTGCCCATTCCTTTGACATATCCATATGTCAAATTTAAGTTGAATATGTAACACTGTTTGGTAGATAATGAACAGAAACTGTAAATTTCATATTATTTTCAAAGTGAAAGGGGCATTACTCTGCTAAAAATCATTGAACCATGACCAAATTCGAACTTGGCCTGGGCATTCCAAAAACATATCCATATGTCAAATTTGAGTTGAATGTGTTGTACCATTGGGGAGATAATAAACGGAAAATGAAAATTTCACATAACTTTCAAAGTGAAAGGGGCATAACTCTGCCAAAATCATTGAACCATGACCAAATTCAAACTTGACCTGTATTTTTTTCATGACATATCCATGTGTCAAGTTTGAGTTGAATGTGTTGTACCTTTGGGGAGATAATGAACGGAAACTGAAAATTTCATATTATTTTCAAAGTAAAAGGGGCATAACTCTGCCAAAATCATCGAACCATGACCAAATTCGAACTTGACCTGTATTTTCTCATGACATATCCATATGTCAAATTTGAGTTGAATGTGTGCAACCGTTCTGAAGGTAATGAACGGAAACTGATGATGACGGAATGACAGAATGACGAAAGGACGGAAGGATGGAAGGACGGAAGGACGGAAGGACGGAACAGGGTTATACTATATGCCCCGGCAATTACATGGCGGGGGCATAAAAATCTTTAAATAAACTTCATTTTTGAATACAACGGGCTTTGTCTAATTCCGCACCGGAGTGACATCTTAAGGAGACGGCCAACAGAATTTTCGTACCATATATTCTATAGTAAATCCATCACATTTAAGGCTAAATTCTGGACAAAGCAAATCCGGTACCGGAGCTTCATGACCATTTCTTTAAACACCAATGCAGTCCAAGTAAATTTAGCACAAAAAATAATATATTAGCCCTTGGAGTTTTTTCTGCAGCTTTTAATTTCTGTAATCACTATAGAATATTCCAATTAGTAACTGGTGTGTATTCTTGTGCATAGTGCCTCCTGAAACCTTCCACCCAGAAATGGAATCCTGCAAAAATACATCAAAAACAACCTTTAAAGTACTCAGAAATGAAACTTTATGTACACAATTACTAAAGATATACTTAAAATATAACCAGTATCAATTAAGATGACTTGAAATAGGCCATTTCAAAATTTAAAAGAACCACTTTCTAGACTACAACGGGCTGGGTCTAATTCCGTACCGGGGTGACACCTTAACACGATTACAAAGACCGGACGTACCGGATCACGGGATTTTCCCAACCGTTATTGAACCACGTGACTGGTTAACAATTATCTCTCCATTTTCTATTGACTACCGCTTTAGTGACACAATAGTTAATGGAGAAGAAACATAATTTATCTACGATTTTGTGAATGTTCATACTTGAATAAAGTTGTCTGTTAATACGGTTTAAACCTCATTATAACAGTATTTGCAGGTAGGTTGAAATTTATTTCATTTTACAATCTGGAGTGGAGTTGCTTACAATTTAATTATATACCATGTAATAACCAATTCAGTTTGTAAATAAATAAATAGCTGAGTACAAATCCTGAGTACAAAGACCTCTAGCACTCCGAGACATTATATTCTATCCTGGCAAGACATTTAAAAATTAGAGCTAGTGATGTACTAACTCATTTTAAATAAGGAAAATCACACAAAATGAACGGATAAAAGTTTATGCACTCTATACATGTTTTTGAAATATGTTATTGAAAGATTTTTATGTAAGGTGAAGAGTATTCAAATGATTTTAAATGCATTTGTAATTACGTTACATCATGAGAATTTACTAATTTCAACGAATTTAATTTATCAAACATTTAAGTCCAGTTAGTAAAATGTATTTAATATAACTATCGCAATTTCTTAGTTAAAATACTTTGCGATTATTATAGCATAAAATACATCATTTAATTGTTTTATGAAAAAAAATCTTGATAAAGTGAGAGTGAAAAATGGTAGTTAGAGCATACAGTAGTTGCCTAGTTCCAGAGACATCACTGGTCCTAACACCTTTACTTATTGGACCTCAATGACATTTGCAAGATTGTTTATTTATCAACACCCCCATCCCCCCAAACAAAAAATAAAAAAAACCCCATTAATTAAGCTGTGTAGCTCTACTGTTGCGATACAGCCTCCTTTGTAGTACGTCAACAGGAAACTGTATTGAAGTTATAATGTTGCCTAATAGTTTCTAGTTACTTAAAGCATGTTGTATCATTCTTAACATGTAGTTTTAAAAATGGCATATATATATATTTGTGGTGCTTACATGTATATACTGGTTGATGACTCTCCTGCATATATCGTTATTAACACCGACTAATTTGATCTTTTAGAAAACTGTATATCTTTATATGAACAAAAAGTAAAAAGTCACTGGACACTTTTAAAGTAGAGTTTGATAGAAGAATGATTTAAATGTTAATGAAAAGTTTAAATTTATTCACAGGTGATATTGATTGTACAGCTAAATAAGTCTATTTTGAGCTTCAATTGATATTGTAAATAATAGTAACGGTGTTAAACTTCTTGATATAACTATCGTGGATTATTTGTTTACCAATGAACGTAGAAAATTTCAATATAGATTATTTAAAATTGAGTGATCGTGCGCTTTTGTGTTTTTGTGTTTTTCTTTATCTTGTATCATAATGTAAACATACCCGATATTATAATTGCAACGGCCTGAGCTTAATATCATTATTGAAGATATTGATTTCTCAACCGAAACGTAGCGATAATGTTGTAAATTTAATACCTGTGTCAATATTTGTGACAAATTAGCTTCAATTTTTAATATTTCAGATAACTCTATATAATGTGACAGTAAATATATAAACGCAAACAATATATAATTATATATTGAAGCATTGCGGTTTTTAATACATGCACTTGTCGTATGATCCTTCTTCTAAGACAGAATGGCAATTTATGATTGTAAAGGACCAATTTTTGACGTAAACCAAGGAAATAAATTCATGAAAGTAATGAGTGAGATGGTTCGTCGGAAAGTTTGTAAAAACTAGACCCGGCATGCAAGTTAAGTCTAAATAAAACAAAAAATAATTAGTTGTTAAAATGAAGAGATGAAAACATGGGAAGGATATTGGATGGTGGCTTGAATATTGCACTGTTAAGAAATATTACACAAATAACAGTCACACAATTAAGATATATATAAATACGAAGACAAAATGATACATAACACGATATTCCAGACCGTACAATAAAATGGGCAGACGACCGTTCAGCAGTCGACAGCCGTACTAGTTTATACATGTCGGTGTAAAAAACATAATTGACGGACGATGAGTATTTATCTTTTTTGGAACATATCCCAATTGTGTTCGAGTAAATCAATGCTATAGATCCAAACAAGCATGCTAACAAAATTCTGGTGAGAAAAGATTCCAAGTAGGTTAAAACATCAAGTTATGATATAACGATTGTCACATATTAAATGTCACATGAACGCGCATTTTAACTAAATTTCAACACATACTTTTTCTTAAAATAGTCTGCCATATTGATGTCAAATGAAATGAAAGGTTTTCATTGGCTATTTTAATGCGAGTGATGTGATAGTGGCAATATGTACACAAACAAGAATGTGATAAAACTGAGTTAAAATTGCACTTTTTAGAGGCAAAGATTGTTCACAAATAGCTATTCAGTTGGAATGTAATCTTTTAACCTTCTTGAATTTTTAAAAATGGCAAGCAGCTAAATGCATGTTAACTTGTGGTTGATTTTAGAAATTCCGTTGGCACAAATAAGTCGACCTCGCAATTTTAAAGTAGTTGTTCACGTTTGATCATTATTGATCATAAATGAGGATAGATGGCTTAATATTTTAAACGGTTACTGAATTATGAAAATATGTCTTATTAAAAAAAGCGAGAGCTAAATATTGACCGTGTCAGGGGAAAACGCTACGTCGAGTTAAATACCTTGTATATATTTTATATAGTAAACAGGTGCCGGAAAGTAATTTTGTTCTTGATGACCAATGGGTGATTATTTTATTATAATTTGACCATAATTTGCATGGCAAATATGGCTAACGCCTGTGGTAATTGTTATCAAATATGATAAACAAAATCAACAAGGAAAGGTGGCGTTCAATGAATGCAGCCCCCACGCGACCCAGCAACAAGGGCCAGTGGCAAGGAGCCCAGGCGGACCCCAAACAAAAACAGGAAAGGGCACAAGGCAAGCACAGACAGGTTAATCACTAAAATGATAAATAATTTATAACTGATAAGGAATTCAAAGAAAACAAATAAATGATTGAATAATAGGAAATAATTTGTAACTTATAAGATATTCAAAGAAAACATGATTGAATTAAAGGCCCACAAAGTCAAAGGGCAAAGGGGAATGGGACAGGAGACCAGGGAAGGGGGTTAACTAAGGGGAAGATACTGACCGTAGACGTAAAAACAACAAGGGACACAGGCAAAAGTGTCACCAAAACAGTATGAAACAACATAGAAATACATTTGAGGAATTCAGAGTCAGTACAAGTACTCCCGGGGAGTTTAAACTGGCTAATGGTGCACCAAACCTCACTCTTAGCCTCACGATGTTCCTATAAACGAGACAGTGTAAATAAAATGAATCCCGCCAAGTGAAATTCTAAAAGTTGTTATGGTTACAAAAGTTTAAATAAGTAAAACACCAAAATGATCAACAAGAAAATCACCTGCAAGGGCCCGAAGAAGCAAAGCAGAAGACGGACATTAAAACAATTCAGTCCCAAAGGGCTTTAAGAACTGTCCATCAAAGAGTATCCCTCTTGGTCCGTCAGAAGTAATCAAAAGAGGAAAGCGTAGTGTCAAACTGTAAAAAGGTTGAACACTAAGCATGCAGTATGTCTTAAAATAGTAGAGTCATGACCTCTTTTAATAAAACGTTTCATGATTTTTGTAAAAACAGCTCGTTGAAATCCTTTCGTTGCTACAAGCTCTAGCGAATCTAACTGAGAAATATATACCCCATAAGATGTTACATAGGGTACGTCTTCATCTAAATGTGGATAATTAACTATACAAAAGTCAAAGTCATCTCTTTTATCATAGATTTTCGTGTGAATAGGATTTTTGTTGATAGTAATGTGAAAATTCAAAAATTTTAAGAGTTCATTTAATTAAAATGTAGTTCATGAGGATAAATATCAGACATCATTTGATCAAAATAAGATATATCTTAATTAAAAAATATCATCAAGGTATTAAATGCAACTTATCAAGCATTAAAACGAGGTTAAAAACCCCTAGGTTAAATAGGAAAAGAAAGCGCATTAATTAAATCTCCAGCTATCATTGAGCATCCATCCAGGTTTCTTTCGAAGACGTTTCTGCCTGTATATTGTTGTTTTTGTTCTTAAATAATCTCCCAGTGCATGAGTTACATATTTATGAACCAGTAACGTAAACAGAATCAGATGGATTATTTGCAACATATGAAGAAGTCCTTTGAGTTGTTGGCGTGACATTTTGTTTGTCGTTTGATGTTCCTTTACAAGTAGTTGATTTACAAGTGCTAGAATCATGTAAAGGGGTAAATAACTATGCAAAACTTTTGATGGGCTTGATAAGAATGAGGAACATGAATCTGACGGAGCTGATTTTTAAACTGTAGGAGAAACATTAGATGAGGGATTGGACAACGGGATCTGATCCGAACATTAGTCAGAGGATATGGGCTTGTAAAAGAGCTAGTGGTTCCACACAAAGCCATTCCAATAAAAGCAAGTTAAAGGTTTAAAACCCGCGACTTTTTCTATACTTTTCTCCTTTCACACCTCATAGTTAATATTTCCCTCTAAAACCTATATTTCGGACAACTAATCGATCTCCGGGTTTCATTTCCGCTTCTCTCACACGGAGGTCATAATGCCTTGTATGTTTCTTATCTTGTTTCTTGAAATCTCGAAGTGCAACAGAATTAGCAAATGTGTGCCTGTTCACATAAGAAGAGTTGTCTTTGCAAGAGAGGTGGCTGGTTCTATGCCAAGAAACACAAAGATGGAAAGTCTTGGGTGGTGACCGAACATGAGAAACTAGGGACATGGGCATTCCAATTTGCCTTCTTGCCATCCTGAAATGTCCCCAACATATGTAAAAGGGTTCCGTTAAAGCTCCCAGGCATTCCATTTCCTTTTGGATGTTTCGGAGTTGTTCTGGTCGCAACGCCAAAATCACTTCACTTTCAAAATTTCACTCATGGTCACTATTTTGCCGCTTAGGGAAACGTCAAAGAGAAGTTAAGCGGTCGTATGTTCAGTTTTATTCTTGGCAAGGGTAGCTTAAGCAAAACGAATACACTATAGTGGTCAGTTTTGATAAGGATGTTTTCATAGCCTAGACGAGACATTTCAAGAAAAAAGAAAATCAATACAGACCATTTCGTTGGTTAACCGGACTGAACAGGATCCAACTAAGCAGTGTTTTTTTTCTAATGACTTTTCATCAAAGGATACATATGATACAGTTGCGAACTCTGTGTTCGATTAACTGCTTATTTGGCCAAAAGAAATGTGAACGAAATAAGGAAAATAAGGAAAGCATGTAAACCTTGAAAAGCTTAATAAAGAAGATGTTCTAGGAGACGGTCTTTTGACGTTATACATCCGACTTCAATCTCATCCCTGGGATTAAGAAAATGAACAGTTTGATTAAAGGAAATGTATTCCACGGCAAAAACCTGACCTGGATCTTCAGACTTGGATTTTTTTTAACGGCATCTGAAAAGAGAATAAATTAGTGTCAGGAAGATAAGCTGAAGGATTTTATTAGAATGTGTATCGGCATCGATATTCTCTTTGTCAGCTATTTATCTCATGTTGATGTCATAAGTTGACAAGGAAGACAAACCCCTGTGACTAATTTCACAAAGGTTAACAACTAAAACAATTAGATGAAAGGGTTATCGTCTGTTGGAACTTCCACAGAATTACCATAAAGGTAAACATGGAACTTCTTGTGAAATTTGTTTTGGTCCTTCGGGATCATTGAGTCTGATGTCAGAAATAGAAAATTTAAAGCACAGTTAAACGAAACATTTTTGGGAATATTAAAAAAATACAAAACGTTACGGTATCCTTTAACATCTATGAAGAATTGCGAAGAGATATATTAAACGTACAAATGCTGATAATTTTTGTGAAAGCCATTACTTTTATGACTTGTATACTCCACAATAAGGAATAAATCAACCAATAAATTAAGAAGGAAATTTCAAAAGCTATCCCAGCAAACACATGACCTTTTGGAGTTCAACGTTTGATAGACGTTAAAATTAAATAGTATTCAAATTTAAACATCAGAATCCACCGTTGATTAAACGTCTTGTATCATCTATTTTCCAACAAATTCTTAATGTAAACAAAGCCAGTTTCAAACATGATTCTAAGCATATGCTAAATTAATTCCAGTCAGTTTCCAACGTAATTCCAACCATTTCCTAACATAACTCCGACCCATTGTCATGTATTCCATGTATCAAAACATCCAATTTAAGAGAAAAATTCAGAACTTTCAATAGTGCTTTTATTCTTTGTACATAGTGAGCAACAGTAAAATGAAAAACATGATTACAACTTCGTACATTAATGTAAAATTGCATATAAAAAAATTGTCAATATGAAAATTAGAAAAAAAATACTTATTTTTAGTAATTTACAGAGATAGTGATAGTATAAATTAGAATATTCAAAATATGTATATACAATATCAAAAATAAACAAAATAGTGCAAAAGAATGCAGTGATCGGACCTCCTTCAATAATGCAAATATTGTGATTATTTTCTTTTGAAGGTTAAAGTACTTACTTTTTATTTCATGCATTTCAAGGTTTTCTTTAAAAACTAACTCTAAAAAATAATAGAATTTCAAACAAACGTTTTCATTGAAGTTCATAAAATCAGTAATCTGAAGAGTGGTAAATTATTCCTTTCTTTCAGTATTAAGTATGACGCACAACAAATGTTCACTTTAAAAAGAAGGAAGTTATTGTTAGTCTTCATTCTAGTTACTAAACCCAGCTTTAAAGTATTTAATCTTATCTTGAGAAATACTCCTGCGCAGGAAACAATCTAGTATACTTAACGACTAGTACCTGATCCTGATTCTTCTCATATAAATGTCAAATAACTAGCACATAGATATGCTTACAGTAACACCTTGTCTTGATGTGCCTTTTGCACTATAAGAGAGAAACAAAAATAAAAATGTACCTAATAACCAAAATGGTTATAAAAAATATTGCATAGAAATTATAAAATACCCTAGCAAATTATAAAGTGATTAATGAAATGTCAATTGATGTTGTGAAATACTCCAAAAAATGACTTCAAATTTATCTTGCCGAACATATCGAGTAATTTAATCTTAAGTCATTGCCCTCACTGATTTGAATACCGTTTCACAATTACTTTTCATAAAACAGAAATCCTACAAAGTAATAATTAGTAAACACGACATTCTAAAGCCATTAATTTTGATTTTATTATTACTTGCTGATTACATGGCCATCGTGGGCAAGGCAAGTCACTTATGGAACCTCAAAATAATTTAGATCTTTTATATTCATATTATTACACTTAGGGGTCTTAAGATACATTCCAGCAAATCATGCAAGTATGTCACGGACGTACACATACATCAGAACATATGAACAATATCGCAGGAAGGTAGTCTAGTACTGGTGTCACATTCCAGGAACGATTGTTAGGAAACTACCCGCCTATATAACTGAAATACTGTTTGGAAAAGGCGTAAAATGAAAAAAAAACAAAAACAAAAAACAAACGAACAATACAGATAGCCTTATGTCATATTTCATTGTATTTGTACTTTAAAAGCAATTAACAGAGGAGGAAGAATTCAGGCGTTATCAATTAAGACTATGCGAAAGGCTTATGAAATTGTTGAACTTTCGCACTTTGAAGTCGGCTTAGTAAGTTTTTGTATATCACTTTTATTCGAACGGCTGTTAATGTAAACATTTGACTACTTATATAGTCAATGGGTTTGATGATGATGTGACTACATGCACTAGTATCAATCATCTCAAAATCCTTAGATTTCTGTATTGATATCATTTCTGTATACACTAATTTGAATGTGTACAAAACAAATATTACTGTTACAGTAAATCATGCTTTTGCATGTTTTGTTTAATATATGTCACTGATAAGGTAATGACATGTAAATCAACAGGATATTTTGGTAAATAAATGTAACATTTCTATTAATTTAAACACCAAGGTATGTAAAATATGGTATCTTTGTCATAATGTCCTTAAATCAAAATTAGATATTGTGATAAAGTCTATGAAAACACAGTCAAACATCTCGTTTGGTCTATAAAAAAATCTAGTGAAATCTTGGATAAATTCAAAATTAAGAACTTTCAAGCTTCCACTGTCAGTACATACGATTTTTCAACACTTTATACAACTTTGCCACATAAATTAATCAATGATTAACTAATTTCCCTTATTCAGAAAACTTTCGCACGGGAAAAAAACCTTTGTAGCATGTTATTCTAACAAAGGTTTTTTTTACTAACGGTATTGTTAAACATTATACTATGTGGACCTATGACGAAGTTTGTAGAGCACTTTCGTTTGTTTTAGGCAACATTTATGCCAGGTTTGGTAAAACCCTTTTATAACAGATCATAGGAATTTCTATGGGTACTAATTGTGCACCCCTTGTCGCCGATTTGTTTTTGCACTGCTATGAAGGAGACTTTATGTTGAGTCTCTCTGAAGATAAACAACAAGATGTTACAATCGCATTTAATAATACTTCCGGATACCTTGATGATATTTTAAATTTAGATAATTCTTATTTCGATCAAATGGTTTCTGACATTTATCCCCATGAACTACAACTTAACTACAACTACAACTTGCCCTGTCCAATCCTTTTACAGTTGGACACTACGCTTTCCTCTTTTGATTACATCTGACGGACCAAGTGGGAGACTCTATGATGGACAGTTCTTAAAGCCCTTTGGGAATGAATTGTCTTAATGTTAGTCTTCTGCCTTGCTTCGTCGAGCCCTTGTATGTTTTTTCTTGTTGCTCTGTCTTCCTTAGGACATTGAGTTCTTGTTATGGTCATTGGGTTTACATTTATATGTTTCTACATGATCATTTTGGTGTTTTACTCATTTAACCTTTTGTAACCATAACAACTGTTAGAAAATTCACTTGGCGGGGATTCATTTTATTTACACTGTCTCGTTTATAGGAACATAGTGGAGCTAAGAGAAAGATTTGGTGCGCCATTAACCGGTTTAAACTCCCCAATAGTACCTGTGCTGCTGACCGTTCCAAGGCGGCGCCCCTCTGTGTTCCTCAAATGTATGTCTATGTTGTTTCATACTGTTTTGTGGACATTTTCGCTTGTGTCGCTTGTTGTTTTCTTGTCTACGGTAAGTATCTCCCGCTTTGCCCCTAGTTTGTATTTCTTTAATTTACCCCCCCCCCCCCTTTCCCCGGTCTCTTGTCCCCTTCCCCTTTGCCCTTTGACTTTTTTGTGGCCTATTATTCAATCATTTTTTGGTTTTCTTTGAATTACTTATCAATTACTATCTATTTCTAATCATTATGAATTATTTATCATTTTAGTGATTAACCTATCCGTGCTCTGTCCTGTACCCTGTCCTGTTTTTGTTTGGGGTCCGCCTGGGCTCCTTGCCACTGGTTATTGTTGCTGGGTCGAATAGGGGTTACGTTCATTGAACGCCGATTTTCCTTGTTGATCTTGTTGATCATATCATATTGTATGAAAATGATTAAAAGATGGATGCCTCCAGATGAACCAAAATATTTCAAGAAAGTCAAACTTGAGAAAAATGTAAACATTTTAAGACACGAAGAAAGATTCAATATTCAAGTAATTTTTTGTATGCTTTGTGCTCTTTGTGACTTTGCAGTATATATAGCCATATTTCTGTTGATTGATTAACACATTTAGATTTTTTTTGCACATTTCGAACTCTTTTTAGTAATTTACTTTACATGGATTGTAAAAGTTGAGGTTTGCAATGTGAAAATGACTTTCCTTGTTCACTTCAAAATATTTCACTTTTAAATAAAATTTATAAATGTTATGAACATAAGCATGAAAATTTGTATTTTTTTTGTGTTCCTGTTTAAAATATTTTATACTTGTCAACTGCGGTTAGAATAAGATATACATTGTTAAGACTTTAAACTGTACATTAAGAATAACCTGTTTGCCAAATACCGTATGTTTTACGGCGATTATCTAGAATTTTCTACATTCGTCTGGGCTCTCCTTTCTCCGATATATCTTCAAAATATCTTAATTTGTTAGGTTTTCTTTTTCAGAATGTCCGACAAGTACTCCCGATTGGTGACATTTGTGATAAACATTTGTCCAAAGCCATTGAGTGAACTTTTTATCAGTAAAGCAAAAAAGGATAAAAACATCCAGTACACAAATTTAAAAGACTACCTTGTTTTCCGTGAACAAGATATTCGTAATTTGGAAAGACGAAACAAAATTACCACCGATCAGCTGGATCACATTTTTCCGCCGTACGGGATTGTAGATATTCAGAAATGGGACGTCACCTTATCATCAGCCCTATTAAAAGGATTATTTAAAAATGAGCTAGATTCCGGTGAAAGATTGTGTCTCGATACAATTACAACAATTCGCAACACTCTACAGCATTTTCCAAGCACCAATTGTATTGAAGATGAATTCTTTGATTTATCATGGAATGATCTAACAAATGCAGTCCTTTCACTATCCAATTACGCTGGAGCTCCCGAACAACGATCGATTGAAGAAGAAATTAGCAAGGCTTTAACTGAAAATATGCCAAATCTCGGAGACGTTTTGCAAACATGGTACAAAGGATTTACTGTTCAACTCAGTTTACAAAACAAAAGACTGGAGAAGAAATTAAATGAGCAAGCCTCTGAAATACAAAATGTGAGAGCTGCGTCTGAAAAAGGAAAGGCTATACTTTTTAAAGGAACGAGAAAAAGACAGAGACGTTCAGGTATTCATTTTATGGTAAATGCTACAAAGGTCAATAACGTTCTTCTTACTAACTTACTACAAGTTTGTGTTCTTTGTTAACATGCATATATTAGCTTTCTGGAAAAAGTTTTCTCCGATTGTTTTTATAATCCCCCGCCGAAAGCTTAGAAGGATATGGTGATTAATATAGTATTTGTCTGTCCGGTCTCAAGTCCTACATTTTCTTAACTTAATAAGGTGATATTCTTATTATGGAGTACTACCGTGGACTACAATAACCTGTTTGTTATGTTTCTTTAAATTGTTGCACTTTGCTATTTTTCATGATTGTATAAATTTTGTTCGAGCATAACTTGAACGGTATGTGGAATTTGGATAATGAAGGAAGTTGTTAAAAAGTGTGTGATGCAGTACAAATAACCCATACCCTCCATAAATTCAAAGAACAAAATATTACTCTTCATAACGTTTGAGTTATTGCCCGTTGTTATTTTTTTTTATTTATTGTTGTCAAGATATCTTCTTCACAGATGAAGGATTGCAGTGAACAGTAAGAAATCTCTATTCATCCAAAGCATAACTCTTCAAAATTTAAAAAGGTTAGGGATAGCAAATAAAACTTATTGGTAGAAAGATCATATGATACGAGATGCATGCACAATAGTAAAATCTCTTTTCCTTTAAAATGTTTGAGTTTTTGCCCTATTGGTGTATTATATTTTTTATAATTGTCTTAAGCATAACTCAAACTGGGATCAGATAAATAGATTTGTAATGTTTATAGTAAGATACTAGATCTCATTATGCGGCAGTGTAATGCACGTATACACAAAATGGGACCTGCACATTTTGTCCTTTTAAAGTTGTTGCTTTATTTTTGTCCGAAGCATTACTAGAAAATGCTTGAGATAGCAAGGTAAATACAGTGTAACTTCTGAAAACCGAACACCCATGGGACTTGTCAAAAAGTTCGGATTTCAGAGGTTTCCGGAATTCAGAGTTTTATGATAATGTGGACAAGACTAAGCCACTAAATGTCAAGGAAAATGTGGCCATTACTGTAATATCATAAATAATAGTCTTTTAATCAAAATAAAGATGTGAATGAAAAGAATACATTTTTATCTTACCTGCAAATGCCTTTGATCTCTTTTGGTATGAGTGATATGCCCGTTACAAATAATTCTTTATAATTAAATGCCCTTCTTTATTGCCATGCTTATTTTATGTTTGCGATGAGAAACTTGGTGGATATATCAGATCAAGTCTGTACAGTGCACAAGAATAAAAACTTAAAACTTTAAACTTATTGAGTCATTGCTTCAAAGTTTGAAATATCTCACTGAAAAGCCATGCACTAGATATACATGATAATTTTTCACTTCATATTTGTGTTATTGCCCATTGTTTATATTTTGTAAAAATATTATTATTTGTAAAAATGCAAATAAAAAAACATTATTTGTTAAAACTGTTACCCTTTAAATTTTTTATACTTATAGTGACAGCTTCTCGTGCTTATTTTCAATTTCATTATAAAAATATATTACAGGTGCCGCTGTAAAGGCTTTTAACATTTATGACCAAAAAGTGGATAACATGAAAGGTTAGAACGCACAATTTTATTGGACCTAAATGTGTTTTTGTTTTTGTGTTTTTAATAAAACTAAAAGGCCATAATTTGAAAATTTATTGTTTTACTGTTTAAATCGCCATGTATTTTATTTTAAAAAAGGAAGGACATTTTATCAAATTAATGTCTCGGCAATTATTGTCTCGTAGCAAAGAAAGCATTACCTTTTTAAAAACAGATTTTAACTTTATTTCATCACGAAAATAATATTTAGTTACTTTAAAAGACCTATAATTTTGTTCGAAGTACATTCTGTATCGTCTGTGAAAAAAATCAAGCAATAACTAGTATCTTACTTCTAAGTAGTAAATTTCAAATTACAACTTAAAAACAAATCAAAAGTTATTTAAAATATTTCAGAGAAGTTCAAAAGGGGTTATGATAAGCCTTTCAATAGTTCTGAGTTTTATCAAGACCGTATTAAGCTTATTACCAAACAGCTAAATGAAAACCACCGTGTTATCGTTACCGGCAATGATAACGACCTGAATTACAAATGTGCATTTGCTGCAATAAAAGAAGCAAACCAATACATTGATCAATGCTTAGAAATTAATAACCCATCTGACTGGGGATCTATCACATTTGAGGATGCTAAACTCGTTCTGTTCAATGAGCCATTTGGAAGGTCTAAATTTGATGATAGAAAATATGAAGCAATGCTTGACGAAATCGACGGAATGCTTGACGCAACCCAAGGAGAGGATGACGACACTATCAATATCGTAATAGTGGCAAACCAAAAGCACCTGAAAGAAGCGACAGATCGAAGTGATCATGAGATGTTATCCACATCATCTGTTGTTGAAATCGATTACAGCAACATAGACGGTAAAGGCAATTTCCATATTTAATTTATTTTTATTTTTTCTAAAACAAACGTTTAATAACATGTCATTTTCCCGCTAATATCACGTAATGAAGCAAGTCTAATATTGACCTACCTCTTACTTAAATATATGCAATATTGTTGTTGATACTGAGTTGTCTGTCAGTGAAATAAACCCAAATCTCTCATTCATATTTATCACATACCCGTGCCGTTTATGCAATTTCGTAAAAATGGTATTGTACGGCCGTGCATATACTTCATAACATCATTTGCGCTTATTAAACATTAAATTCGTGTAGGTTCATTACTGACTTTACTGAACATGTTGCATAAAATAATGTTATTCTCGTCAGAGGCTCGCATCATATAATTTTGTTCAACTCTTTCAATGAATTCAATATAAAACTGTCACTCATTCAGTATCTTGTATTTATGTCTTATTCATAAACGTATATATATTAAACATATCAGATGGTGCATATTTTCTAATATATCTACTTATATCCCGTGTTTCTCTATTTTGGCATTATATGTTTTTTTTTCAGATAAGACTCTTGTTGTAGATGATACCATACACAGGAATTTACTTGGTTAGTTGATTTTATGCACTATAGAAATTCAAAAAAAATATTTCTTTTTGTAAATGTTTGAATTCTAGAAACAATGAAATAAAAAAATCAACCTTTCTAAAAAATAATTTATCCAAGTTGAACAATTAGTCAGCAGAATTTAATACAAAGTTATATTTTAGTAAATTTTCAAAAATAAACACAAATATCCTTTGTGCTTTGTGTAAAATGTGATCTTGTTGACGTTGGCAACTCCGCTACAAATTCAGGTTGAAATTCATAAAATAGTATTTTTATTTAATAATATAAAATTATTTATGACACATGATAATTTTACACGTCAATCTAATATCTTTATCTTAAGCATGAATACCATGTACATACAAAAGGGTTAGACCAATAGTTAAAGCACTATTATTTAGGATCCTCCCTAACGTTTATTTTGTTGGCATAATTTGTATTTGTGGATTTTAGAAATGCTTAGATATTTATGAAGTAAGCGATTTATATTTCATTTATATCTAATTGTAAACGAATTAAAATCAAAACATTCCGTATCAAAGCACAAGTTAACCCTAAAAAGTGAAAGAATAAAATCTTTGTCGGAACACTATATCTATAGCTCATAATAAAATAAACAAACAATTTTGCTGGAATTGCGATATTGACAATTTCAGATTTTTCTTTTTGTTTCCAGATATGGCTAAGACTTTCAAAAAATCATACATACCAAAGGAAGTTGACAGTCAAGCTAAAGAAAAGGCGAAACGACTCTTCATAGATGAGAGCATGGTGGTTATCGTTGGACCAACTGGAAGTGGAAAAACAAGCATTTCCTTTGAGTTGTTATCTTCATATGACCTAAGCAATGGAGAAGATAATTTTGTCGTTATCGCCGATCCAAGCGAGTTGAAGTTTGTAAATCTTTCGCTGCATCCTGTGATTATCATCAAGTCATTGTGTGGAGTGAAGTTTAACCATGCTGAAGTGCACAGGTGGTATAACCAGTTAGACAGATTGTATGCAGCTGTTAAGAGAAATCAGATAGCCGTTATCATAACGATAGATTCAAATGTATTCCAAATGATTCAATCACATATGCCACCACATCAACTATTGGCACATACTGTTACATTGACCAGCAATACTGTCAACGAAAGAGAAAATGGAAGTAAAGGTAATTTGTAATGCCATATTTCATTCATTTAGATATAAATATTTATATGAAATAAACTATGTTATTTAGCTCAGTCTCACTATAACACAATACTGTCATACAATTAATGATCAATTTTATATGTTTATTTTTAACTTTGATAACTCCCTAAAATGTGTTCTTTGTACATGTGTAGATGTAATGATAGAACGTTTGAATTCATCATAGCATTAGTTTAGGCACGGCATCATTTCTTGGCAGGTTGTCAAGCATGTGTAATGGCTTTTCAAAGGATTTGCTATTACTTTTGTACATGGTCAAACAGAAGTTCACTGCGAAAGATTGCAGACAAGAATTCATTATTTGTCACAAATAGACCTGCATAATCCGGGAATCGAACCGTGTCTTCTGATTCACAGTCCAATACTCTAAAAAGGCAACGACTATGAAGATCTTAAACCAGATCCTGTTTAGAATGAAATATGTAGCTCGGAGTTAATTCTTTTTCTGTGGTAATGAGGCTCTGCCGAGTGTCCGTTAAATAGTTACCCAAAAGAGAGTTTTTCTGGTCTTTTCCGGCATTTTGGTTTGTGGTCCTTTTTCTTGCCTTATGCATAATAATTATAATTCGGAAACATATAACTACAACTAATTTTTTAATTTAGCACGCTTATAAATTCTTACAGTAACGTTCAAAACGGCGAAATAACGTCATTTTAAACTCAATAGAATCAGTAGGAAGCGTGGGAATGACGTCTTTAAAGCACTCAACCAGTCTTACACATGGTAATGGAAACAGGTTTTGCTTGCACTAGTATAAACAGTAGATACTCTGACATAACCAACTTGCAAGAAATTCATATTATTTTGTTACAGATACAATTGATTGTGAAGTACAGACTGACGACATAAGGTAAATAAAGTAATTTTAATTATATTGTTCAGTTTTTTATTTGACAATTTCAAACTAAAAGCCTAAAGAGATCAATATAAAGTATTAAGCAAAGTGCTATAAAAGAATATATTTTAAAATCAAGCATGGTAGCATTAAAGCTTTGAGACATGTTCTACCTCATTTCTGTCTCTACCACTGATATATTTGCAATACCTTTCGTCCTTGCCTACCATGACCGATGGAATGTGTAAATCTTAAACTATGATTACACTTTTTATAAATTTGTTATAAATTATAGTTTTACGTTTCTACGACTCTGACATAATTTTCACAATATCACAATTCTTTGCTCCCCCACCTATCGTCTAGTCATGTTCTCTCGGTTTTAATGAACAGTTGCTTTGACTATGCATACACTATACGTGTTATATGTGTTTATTTGTAAATAATAATCCTTAGACAAATGGCTATAAATAATTTGAAATATGAATAAAATTGATAAAAATGCTATATATTTGATATAAACGGAGCCGATTTAGCTCAAACATTGAATGAAAAATTGTACAATATACATCCGTTTTGCCTTTCTTACTTATATCCATGAAAAGAAAATGTCTACGTATGTGGCCTTTCTACGCTACCCTTACCTATATGATTTCTGTTCTCTTTTCTTTCTTTTTCATCAAAAGTTGATTACTTGATTAACTGACATGATTAAATTTTATTTGATAAAAACCTAAATATATGGATTGACTAGTTATTAAAATTCGAAATTCACTTTTCATATGTTCAAAATCTTGTTCTTACAGTTTTAGTTTTTCTTTATTTTTACCAGTTTGTACACAATACCGGAGGGAAATTCAACACAAGCTGCTACAACTGTTGGTGAAAATGATTTAAGGTCTGTAAAAGGTTTTCGAGAATATAAAATGTCTCCTTTAACGTTATTACCTAAGCGTTGTAGGATTATCAGTTTTTCTATCTTACCTTCTGGAGAAATTTTGTTTATTGAGTATTCAGGTAAACTTATAAAACTGAACACAAATTTTAAAGTAATCAGTACCTTACAAATAGATATTGGTTTGTTGCGTTCATGTGTATGTTACACTGGGAAAGATATTGCTGTAGTATTGAATCAGGATCAGCTTATGTTTGTAAATATCAAAGAAGATGTGTCACTGATAAATTCACGAAGTATATCTCACAAATGTTACTCATTAGCTTGTTATAATGACAAACTTTATGCTATAGACAAATGTTCAGTGTTTGTTTATTCAACTGATGGTGATTTTCTGAAAGATCTTTATGAGTCAAGACACACAATGCTCGAATACATTGACATTGCAGTGAGAAATGACGGAAGTATGATATTTATTATGACCGATGCGAAAAAACTTATAACTCTCGACAACTTTGGTAACACTTTATTCATGTTAGACATTCCTGATATTGAAGGTGTATTTATAGGAAATCAGATACGTTTATGTGTAGGTTTTCAGGATAACGTCTTCATATTTGGTGACATTCAAAAGGGAAGTAATCAGAAAAAGATTGTACAAGTTCATCCTGGTTCAAGGTCTTGCAGAGTTATTTTACAATTCGAAAGTGAGGCTGATTATTATGCAATGCAATATGATTTTGACAAATGTGCAGTTATGTTAGCAGGAAACTCAAATATGTTAACAGTTTTAGAACTACGTTGACATTGTCTGTATGATAGTTACAAACATGATTAATTTTCATAAATGTATTTAATTTCTATGACATCATGTATCATGCTAATGACACAATTGTTTTGTAGATACTTTGAAGTTTCAAAATAAACAATGCCTTTTTTCAAAAGCTGACTTATGGTATTTGAGTTAAATATATGATGACAATAACCAGAAAGTTTGCAGCAGTAGTTACTTTTTACAGTTAATTGCTATTTATTATATAAAGAATTTGAAACAGTATATACGGATAAGTGGGGAATGATTAAGTGACTCTCTGATATATCATTAATTATAACTTTTTTTTCTATGTAATCAAAGAAGGAAAGTAGCGCGCGTTATTTCAGTACAGTGCGCTTTTCCGTATAATTCGCATATTCGTTACTGGAGTACAGCACTCAAGTGCATACTTTGTACTTAACAGAAAGCTCTGTATGAGCACATTTGTCTCGGAGCACATTTGTCTCACGAAGTGTGACCGATGTGTTTATAAACATTCATATTTGCGACAAATTGGAAATGAGACAGATGTGTTTGACACACAATAGAAAGGACACTTGAAGCACAGTTTCTCACATTTTTCCATAAAATTCTTAAAGGGTAATAATATAATTATGCCCATCTGTATGCCGGCTATCAGCTTTTGCTCTGTGTTTTCTGTATTTATAATACCGTTTTAGGTCTCTTCCGGTCAGTCAAAAACTCCCTGCCTCTGCATAGGAGTCATATATTAAATTAAAGAATATCCCTGTTCTGCATGTCACAGCGAAAAGTGTAGCACAGATGCAGCAAGTCTATTCTTATCGTTATTTATTGTGATACGTTTATTGTCAATACTTAAAGTTTTATACATGATTTATTGCACTAGAAATAATCTTAGCAAAAACAAGATAGTATCTACGGTGGCATAAAGGGGAAATAGAATTTTCTAATTTATTACGTGCGCACACGATAGCTTTTGCGTGGCGACGCGATACTTTTACGCGCGCACGCGATAGCTATAACGTGCGCACGCGGATATGCATTCCGCATTTGGACCCTGGCCTGGATCCGCGCATGAATAGTTCGACGGTTAGGAGCAAGTGGTTTTTTGAAATCACTCGGCGACGGAGGCCCTTAAATGATCTATAGCAGAAAATAAGAAGACCATTACACACGTATTTTGTTTTCATCAGAAATAATATTATATGTATAGAAAATCGTCATTTTCCAAGAATTGCGGCTTTCAGATCCGCCATTGAAAAAGCACTAACAACATGCACGAGTTCCTAAAATATATCGGGCCACTTAATATCGGACGAGACGCGACATTCCGATGTAACACGAAGCGAGACACGATATTGTAACACGAGATTTCGCAATGTCGAAGTATCCCGTGCCACGGGATTTCAGAAATGAATATTTTTTTAAATTAATTTTTAGATAGGGCAAGTATGAATTTATTAATATTCAAATAATGATTTCTGAGGAAGTTAGATGCATGTAACAAAAGAAATTAGCGGTAAATGTGAAATAATGCGTCATAAAAGTAGCAAAATGTAAACAAAGTAGTATTTTGATTTCAATACAAAATTCTAAATCACTTCAACTGCACAAACTGCAAAACAAGCAGCAGATGAAAAAATGCTTAATGCAATTAGCCAATGAATAACTTTTTGGAGCTATAAAAGTATACCAAAAATAAAAGCTTTTGAGGAATACAAATAAAAGCATTTCTCAGGCATAATTGGCCTTTAAGTGATTTCATGTAGACTATAAAGGGAATACATGTAATCAATTTCTTGTTTCGCGTGGACGAACGAGATGCGAAGCGAGACGCGAGATTTCGGCGAGATGCAAAAAGAGTCACGATATTGTATCATTCAATATCAACCGAATACGGTGTTCCGTTTTGGACATAAGTAACATTTTGTCTCCCTGAACAGCTATGCCCAATGGTACAAAGGGCAAAATTGAGATGGTACGATGGTACGATGATTAAAACACGATGGCATGATGGTGAAACACGATGATGCGATTACACGATAGGGGAAATAATATCATTTTCATCAACATGCCATCTCAGTTTCATCATACCGTACCATCGTAACATCGTTTTTCACCTTAGTACCATCACGTTTTCATCATCGAGCCTTCGTTGTTTAACCATCGTGCAAACGTTGTTACACCATCAACCGTTACAACCGATGTTTCACGTTCGTACCATTGTGTTTTCACCATTGCATCATCGCGTTTTTCATCAACGTACATTTTGTCATTGCGCTGTCACCATCGTACCATCGTGAACGGGATTTAGTATGTTTCAGTTTACGCCTTCATGTTAAGCCAATCGATTTCTTGAATTAGAAATATTATAACTAATAGTTCATTTTAGGTTTTCGTAAAGAAAGCATAAGTAAACCTATTGATGATTACACTTGACATGAGGTAAGACGACGAACCTTGATTCTAAAAAAGAATTTCTGCCGTAGGGAAATATGTGACAAATAATAAAAAAAGAAGACAGGAGACAAATGTGCTTACTTGTCCCTTAAAACACATGAGACAAATGTGCTTTCTTGTCCCTTAAAAAACTTGATCGGAGCACATTTGTCACACAAATGAGTTTTTTGGGGTAGACATTTGAGGTCCCATTTGTCTCATGTGAGACAAATGCGACCGCATCGGTCTTACGTAAGACAAATAGGTTCCGAGACAAATGTGCTCCTACAAAGCTCTATCACCGCAGACATAATTCAACGTTATACTTTTCGTTGTTAAACCTTTTAAAAAAAGAAGAAAATGACAAAATTATGATGGTGTTGTCGTGTTTAGTTTATTATCAAACTATTTGTATAATAATAAGTATAGACACAAAAATTTATGAACGTTCAAAGTTTAATTCTTAAAAGATGTGCACGAATGAAAGAATATCGACGGTTGTATTTCTTGCCGACTGGAACATCCTTAAACCGTAAACAAACATAACCTACGTGAATGTAGTCTAACAATACATTGTCATGCCTTGTTGAGAAATATCTTTATTTTGAGTATAATCTTTTACGTTATATTGTTCAGCTGTTTGTAATTAATCATTAGGCATACGGTGATTATGTTACTGTGTGTGTGTGAACTCCATACTGTGCACTGTAATGAAACATAAATATATCTTTTTTCAAAACATTTTTAGGTCATGTAATCCTCAGGACTGAAAATAAATTAATTTCAATACACAATTATATAAGAAATGGGAGTTGCTAGTTTTGATATATTTTAACTTAACTGCCTTTCAGTAAGTAACAGTTATCATACTAACATACCATATTTACCAGGTTATATAAATTGACCGAATGAACGAAACTTAAATGTCTAAAGTTGCTAAACTTTAATTCTTTTCTAAAGAAGCCTTTAAATAATCTTTGTTCCCCTCAAGCGACCATTGCCTGTTTTCGTAAGGTAGGTAGGTAGATAAAATATGTTTTTATCCAAAATACTTTTTCAATCTCAAAGGTATTTGTAGAATACATTTCATTATTGATCTGTCCGAGGAGTGCATTTTCGAAAGGACAGATAACCCGGAAGGGCACATCCTTACCTTTTCATAATTTCTACACAAATTGCATAAATTGTTGAAGATTGGTGCATATATCGGTTACTTGAGCTAGAAATATACTAAATATAAAAACGAAATCTATAAAAAAATCAATCTTTAAAACTAATTTACATGTATAATAAATAATTAATTAATCAAAAAGCGCCTTATTCTTGGAGCTTAACTATATGATATGCCAAGTGGCCCTTAAACTTTTTTTAAATATCGTTCCTAGGGTCGGAATAAGCGTCCTCTGGGTTTATTGCATTTCCTTGTAATTATTCATATAGCTTAAAATAATATTTTCCTTTAAGAATTAACTAAGACAAGAGCTAAGATCTAGTCGACCGTTACTAAGATTGTTTAAATTGTAGCATTTTGGTCAAAATTGACCCACCCTCAAAGGCTAAGGTTTAGACAGCTTGTATGTCTTGTGGTTGCTGCTACCAAAGCTGTTCAAATTATGGCCTTGGGTAAATAATGGCCCTGCCCCTGTAGTCATGGGTTTTCCTTTAATGTATTTAGTAAAATCTATGAACCCACAAATGTTATAGCTTATTGTTTGTCAAGGGAGCTATCAAGTTTCAATAACATCCAATGTTTTCCATAGCAACAAATGACTTTCCATAATTTCCAGTGACTTCCATAACAGTTTTTGTTTCTCCATAGCAATAAGTAACTTCCTTAGCAATCATTGACTTCCAATATAGCAACTACATATAAGTGGTTCACTCATATTAACAATTTAGCCGAATTCTACTAGCTCACCCTACACTTCATTGGCAGCAATTGTACACTATATAATAGTTGTACACATCTTATCCATGTATACACTTAATTTAATTACAACTCTTAAATTTAAAACTCGTATTAATCAGGTTATGTACCGACAAGTTTTGTTATTATTTCATACAATCCAATATTGTTTGTATACTTCTATGACAACTACTTATCAGAATGCAAGAGTAAGCATACCTCCTGAAATGATTGAATATACCTGAATGTATCAAATTTAATCTACTATTTTCAGTATGGAGTATGATGTATCTAATTGAAACCACTCGAGTCTTGTACACTTATCGCATAGGAATCTCAAGGTGGCAATGAGGATACGCAGTAAGTAAGAATAATAAGGCACAGAAGTGATGTAATTAGTGACGGTATAAGATTTAGAGACTCACGAGAATTAGATAGTGATCCAGTATTTTGTACTTGATACTCCTTTTGTACTTTTTGCTATGCACTATGGAGTGTCTTTAATTGTTATGTCGGCAATTAAAGAGGATATAACGGATTCACTGTATGCACTCGAGAATTCTATCATGTTTAATATATAACTTTGGACTTAATAACCTTTATACAAGGTATTTCACGACCCATGGCCATGTGAGATGTATTTAAAAATTACTGTATATTTTAGGTCATGATAGT